AGGTACGAGCCGGCAGCCATCGACTTCCCGATCCCGGGCGTCCCAATCAAGAGATGCCGCTCAGGCGTAAAGTCGGTCCCACCGTGAGGGCTGAGCCACTCGGTTACATCGCCCTTGACGATCCGCCACACCCGATCCACCTCACAGTTCACAAAAACGTCCTTGGGAAGATCCTGTATCGTATGCCACGAGTACGGCCATCCCTTCTCCGAGGCAAGCAACATCAACACGGGAGGTGCTCTACACCGAATTGCTGCACAGCGTCATTCTCTTCGATAGCGTCGTCAGCTTCCCTGTACTTCCATGACTGTTCTGGCTTCCCCTCATGCACCCCCATCCCCGTCCCCGTTTTCTTTCGCTCCACGCCGTCCGGAAGTTCCACCGCATGGCTCCGCCTCGCATTGTGCACAGACTCGTACAATCCCTCCAGTTTCTCCGGTGCGCTCGTCGTCGTTGGGTTCCTCACCTCCTCAGCAGCTGCATTCAAGAAATGTTTATTGGAGTTATGAACAGCTGCTTTTACCTCCGCAGCAGCCAATGACCACCCCGGTAGACTGTTGACACCCTTATCGCAAAGCTTGCGTATATCCTCATCGAAGATCACTTCACCCTTTACAGCTCGCTTCATACTCAAATAACGACCGGATGCCTGTATCTCGTTCAACGCTCCTTTATCACGGATATACTTCGTGGGGTCCTTGAAAAACTCCTCCGGCAAAACATCCCGTTTGTTGTCCACAACGCCCCTACCGTCCAGTTCCCTCGTAAGAAAGTCGTTCAGCCTCATTACGTTGACGCGGACTGTTCCTTAAACAGTACGTCTTCGATATTAGTGGAAATGGTAAATTTCATTTCCTGCGTTCGTCTTAGCCTTTCCTCTGCCTCCCGCCTCGCTTCTGTCAGTACCTGCGTGAGTACTCCGTTTGGTTTTCTCCTTGCAGGAGGAGTGATCGTATCCTTTTCTTTCATAGTCCCTACGTTGCCCAAGAGAGAGCACACCTTCGTGAAGAGGCTTAGTAGTGGCCTCCAGCGCTTGGTGCGCAGTTAAGTTAAGAATTTCCTCAAGAAGCCGCTGGTCTTGTAAGTAGTCATCCGGCTTCTGAGCAAATACTTCCATCGTCACATTGCAGTCTTTCATCAACAGCCGCCCTGCCGCCAACATAATTCCAAAGGAAATCACTCAGCCTCATGTTGGTGCTGCTCATAGTCCACTGCGGCCATACTTCACTCCCCATCACATGTCGAGCCGCAGCGTCGGAACCATCACGAGAGCCACGGCGAGGTGCCATCACAACACCCGTGTGGTGAAGCATCCCACTCGCACCGCCCAACTGCGGCCTGCAGGCGCCGCTGGCCCCAAAGGACAGTCGCGGCCGTTTCCTCCCGCAGTCCCAATGGCGTTGGGCGTGGCGCTCGCACGGCTCGGTGGTCGGTGCGCCATGCAGCCGCACTGCAACGCCTGTCGGTGAGGCAGCCGAGACGTGCAACCAACCCCAACACCGCCAAATCATCGCCCTTTTTATTTTGTTTTATTCACGTTGTCCGTCTGTTTGCCCCATAACCGACACCAAAAATAAGTGCACACCTTCACAAAAGGGAAGAAACAAAGAGAAAAGGAAAACACGATCCCGCCGTCCCGCCGCGGATCAACACTCTCGTCCACCCACCACCATCGCCACGCATCGCCCCGCTCCATTTTCCCACCTCTCAAGTATTGTGTGCCCGCACAAAGTAGCAAACACAATCAGAGTGCACACAAACCCAATCAACACCCTCACTCGCTGAAGCACATTATTCGCACGGAGTGACAACATTTGGGGACACACCGGCAGTAGCAGGCTGCATGAAATTTCCCTGCCAGCCCCCAAAAAAGACAACAACTCTGCGGAGTAAAGGTGACAGCCCCGCGGTGTTGCCCGCGGTTCGCATGGCAGGAAGAATCCCACGCACGCATAGTTCCGGACCCCATGCTGTTTGAGTGGCCAACAGAACAAGTGAAAAAAATACCTGCGCGCAAGATAGAATTAAATATGTGAAATGTCGGCCTGCTTTGTTTGATGGCGTTGGCGAGCAGTCCCACACAATCCAATCAAAGTGGCACGCCGGACAGAACGGCGTCCGTCAATCAATAAAAAAATGCGACACTGAAAAGGAGCAGAGAAGAGTTGGCGCATGCGATTGCCAGTGACAACTGTGAGCAAACCCGCCAGCACCAACCGAGGTGCCAAGGAGCACGTTTGTGTAGAGCTGGCCGTCAGGCAGAGAGGACAAATAAAACAGGAGGGCAGCAAACCCTCTCGTTCAATGTCTCCTGACCGCAACACCAGAATCAAAATACCATGGACGATAAGAGCGGCAACGCCTTCTCCAAAACATCTTGTCAAGAAGCCGCAGGACCTCAGGAAGAGAAGAAGGCAGCGGCGGCAGCCACAGCGGGGGAGGCAATAAAACGGCTGACAGGCACCTTCACGTCGACGCGCACACCACATCCGAGTGGGCCGGGAGCACAGATCGAACCGCTCGGAAACACACGCATCAAATCCGCAAAACAAAGTCGCAGTAAATCGACAGGAACTCCCTGTCCAAAACAAATTTATAAAGTAGCGTTTTTCAAGGGGAATCCGCCTTTCCGACGACGGCACGGACGCCTCGCAGGAATTTCTTGCAAATCTCCCTTCGCAGTAAAACGCAGCGGAATAAAAAGAGAGCGCAACGACGCAAAAAAAAAATAATCCTCCCAACCGACCAGGTGGCAGGCCGCCCTCGCGCAAGTGGACAAAACAAAACTTCACTCCGGTCTTGTCGTGGTGGTCGTCTCGCAACATTTTCTTCCTTCTCGTCGCAGTGCACATCCCCTCCCACAAACCATTTGTTCGGGCCATTTTCCTGCGGCCAAACATCGCGCTGCTGGATCCCGCGGCACAGTCCTCGGCACAGAAGTGAGGGGAGGAAGAGGGACCGCAGAAGGTGCGAGCAAATCCGAATTCGGTGGCGGTCGCTGCAGTGAAGACTGACGTCCCACGCGGTGTCCCTTTTCTGGGTCCGGTCCTCACCGTGCCATGCTCTCAGCGTGCGGTGCGCCGACCGCTCCGAACATCCACACGTGCTTGCGTCTCACCGTCGCTCGCAGCCCCGTTCGTTGGCTGCATCAGGGATGCCGCCATCCAGAGACGGGCATAAGGACGTTGCATCCAACAAAACCTTCAGAGGCACCCGGTGGGCCAACGACGACCATCACTGCGGGATGCGTGGTCCTTTCGCCGCTCACCTCAAATCGCACTTCTACGCCTCCTCGAGCAGCAGCAGCAGCAGCATAAATACACAGGTCCACTAGAGGCCGTCACCAGCCATTGCAGGAAGACCACTGTGCCTCGGTGTTATAAAACCCATATTGCATTGACGGACCACTTCGGAAAATCCTGTCGCATCCTCCCCCATTATGCGGAAACACATCCGTCGTGCATTTGGCCACCGCAGCCAAAATAATCCGGTCCAAATACCCTCCAAATCAAATTCCCCTTTCCTCAAGCCATTCCTTCATTCCATGCGCCCTGCTCCCATCCGCACGTGCCCACTCACACAAACCGCAAAAGAATGGTGGTGGCCGCCCAACGCTCCGGGAAAACATGCCCAGCACGCACACGCGCACAACAAATGACATGCGCAAACGCACGGCAAAACGGCGGAGAAGCGCACACCGAAAGGATGCGGCCCTCCACAGCAGTCGCAGCCCACCGCGCGCATCACACCCGCAGGAAGAGTGACTAAGCGGTGCGCGCTCCCTCTCCCCTCCTTCTCTTCATGCCCACGGAAAGAGGCAGCAGCCACCCGCAGCCGCCAGCACACGCTACAAAAGAAGCATCAAAACCCACTGCAATGTGCATGTTGTGTGGTTGTGTGTGCCTGCTGACACACGAGGCAAAGAAGTAAAAGCAGGAGCAGAGCAAGTGAAGGGACGCACAAGAAAAACTGTACAGTAGAAGTGCATGGCAGAAACAACGGGACTGCCCAAACTCATGATACTGCACTGCGGACCAAGCAGCGGCAATTCATTAAAAATTTATTAAAATTAAAAAAAAATTCATCTTCACCTTTCCGCTCCTCACACTTTGAAAAGAAAAATAAAAAAATGAAAAAAAAAAATGAAAAAAAAATGAATAAAATGAAAAAAAAACGGAAAAAGAAAAAAATGAAAAAAAAAAGTCCTCTATTACGGCTACACAAAAAAAAGTAAAAAAAGAAAAGAAAATGAAAAGCCACACAAAAAAATTTTCGCCTGGTTACCGTGTGGCCACACCGAACTGTCTGTATGTATTTTGCCCGGAAAGAAAATTAAAAATATATTTAAATGTCTTTCAACCGTCCGACCCTCTGTGTGTCCGCACATCGTTTATATTTCATGCGGTCATCTGCGTGTTGCTGCTCCCCTCAGCCCTCTCATCGGCGTGTGAGTGCGGCCCGCAGAGCACAGTCACTCGTGTGTGTGGGGACTGAGAGAAGCACGCAGACATGACGGGAGTCGCGTCACTCCATCGGGAGAGTGAGCGCAGCAAAAGAAAAAAAAAAATCATCAGGAGGGAGAGAAATGTGTGCTCCGCCCCACCGGCCCTCGTCGCACGCCCACACTTCACGGCTCCCTCAGCGCGCCGTTCGTCGCGGCCCCTCCTCATGCGTGCAGCAGGCGAGGCGCACAGGGCCGTCGTCATGAGCGTGTCGGTGGGTGTGCGAGTGGAGCAGTTGGGCGGGAAACAATTTAAATGGGGGAAGAGTGCAGAAGAAACAATTAAAAGAGGGAAGAGTAGAAAAGAAAAAAAACGTCCATAGTGATTGCCCCGAAAAGCGAAAAAGAAAAAGAAGGGAAGTGATTTACAAAAAAGAAAACAAAAATAAAGAAATTAAGAAAAAAAAGAAAATCGTATCAACAAAATTCAGTGTTCAATGCTGGGATGCTGCTCAGTTGTTGTTCCACGAAAAGCCGCAATTCCACCCTCCCTCACACCTCAGCAGAGAGCCGCAGTGCCCCACAGCCCCAGAAGCAGCAGCAACAACACCCGAGACACACACCCATGCACGGTGCTGTCACCAATTAGATAAATGGCCGCCAACTCGCCGAGCTGCCCGTTCTCAGGCAAAATATCATGGTCCGAGGGTGTTGTTGCGTTGAGCTCCGATGGAATATTGGTTTCCACAGGCGCTGTGCTTGTATTGCCCGATGCGGTGTCGACCGTCTGTGGCACCTCCTTGCCGTCTTCAGAAGAAACTTCGGCTCCTTCAGTCCGAAAGACGTCGTCGGTGTTCTCCGCGGATGTCGGTTCGGCGTCACTCTTTGAAGAAGTGAGGGTGCTGTCTGAGTTCATTGTTCTCTCGGAATTTCTGTCCCCCACCTCGAGGCTGAGGCTTTGCTCCGCGCCGGTGGTTCCGGTTCCAGTGGACCGCACGTCGTTGTTTTCAGCGGAAAGCTCAATGCTTTGTTGTACTTGGTGCTCACCGTACACTGATGCAGTGGCAGTGGCCATACTCAATGACGCACCCACTGAGGACGTTGATCCGCCACTCCTGTCATTCGTTCCTCCATCCTCCTCTGGCTCTTCTGTATCAATACTTTCAGGGGATGTTTCAACATCATTAAACTCCGTTAATTTCTCTGATTGTAGGTCTTGTGGCTGCAACTCTGAACCCCGTTGCATCGATTTATAATCTTCATTCGGCGTGTCTTGCTGGGCCGTTTTGCCTTCGGAGAGCTGGGCATTGTCCTCTGGAAGAGAAGCCCCTGCGATCTCCGTTGCGGTGGCAGGTTCAGAAACAGATGATCCCGCGTCAACCGTGGAAGAGGACGCTGCAAGCACCAGATTATGGACGATTCCTTCCTCTTGTTTTTCAGTATCATCCCCAGTCAATTTCTCATGGCTGGCGGCGGTGGTTTCTTCATTCTTTGACTCGGAAGCAACCAAAGCGTCTGTGTTGGTCACCTGTTCTGTGGGATGTTTCTCAGCGCCCAGTGATGGAATAGTGACTTTGCTGGCATTGAGTTTATGCAGCGTATAATTGGATAGAATCTTATTGTACAGCATGACGTTGGTCACCGTCACGTGGCCGCCCGTTGCACTTTGGTTCTTACTGTCCCCACCGATGTAGAAGTGTGAAATCCTGTGCGTGTCAAACAGACGTTGATTATATTCAGTGTAGTTAATTTCCTTTCCTTCCACAAAGACACTCCACTCAACAGAATCCATTTGCAGTGCCACCTGATACGTCCTGTTTGGCTCCCATTTAACAATATCACCAACATCTTCCGCATCACCAACATCCTCCGGGTCAACAGCATCCTCCGTTATGGCCAACCACTCCTTGTCATGGGTGTACGACAGACCAAAGAGCACAGTGCCTTTTGTATCGTTCATCCTCACACCCATCAAGGGAATGCTGCCACTTTGCGGCACCTCATGGATGGACACCGTCGCCACAAGAGTGAACTTGTTGTTAGCAACGTAGTACGGCACAGTCTGCCCCATTTCGCCAACAGGCCACACCGTCCCTGCTCCGGACCCTTTGAACGTCATTCCATTGGAAACACTTCTCTTCCCATTCCTCACTGTTGCATTCACGCCGAGGTACTCGTCCCGCCACTCGGTCACAGTTGAGTTACCAGACAAGAAGCCAACAAGCCCGTCAGTGGGAACAGGACCATTGCACATACCCTTTTTGTGCGCGTCAACATTGCCGCTGGAAACGGAACGGCAGGATTGCAAGGCGCTGTCCAAATCCTTCCATGTCTTCACAACTTTCTTTATCCGCTCCAGTTTCTCGGTCAGACGCACAGCAACAAGATTGTATGATCCATCGCTCTTCTTGTTCTCGTACAGTGAAATCAACTCCTTATTATTATCCTTCATCAACAGCGAGCTGGCGGCGGCGTCATCATTTTCACGGGATACCGGCCCAACATCATGCACACGTGCATTGTCCGTCACCCAAAGGTGAAGCCGACCCTTTCCATTGTCCTCCTTCGCATACACCGGCGCGGTGATGAGCATCACCTTCTTTCCCTCAATGATTGCTGTGGTGGATCCACTCTGGACGCCGTACCCCTTTCGATCATGTGAGTTGCCCCACACGCGGTTAATTGGCTCACCCAAATCATACCAACTGACTCCATGCAAAGTTGACTTGTAAACGTCATAGTAGCCTCCAGCACAATGAGCCATCATGAAGAGTTCTTCGCCATATTCGTCTTCTTTCCACTTCACCAGGGTTGGATCCCTGCAGCCGTTACCAGGCGTCTCGGATGGGAGCTCCCATTTGTTCCCTGAATTGGAGAGACGCATAGAGAGCAAAACGCGCTGTCCATCCTCGTTTTTGGCCTGCATGGGAAACACAAGCGTGCCGTCACGCATCACAGCACCCGATCCTCCACCGCCAATTAACTCGGTCAAGGAAAGAGATGCTCCTTTGCCTTGAGGCTCCACCACATGGGTCTCATTCCATCTGATTTTCTTCTTCCCATTTTCTTCAGTGAAAGTTCCCTTCACGAGTAAAAGAGCTGGCTCATTCGTACCTTCAACCGGCGGTTTTGCATGGCTGTAGTTTCCCAGGAGCACGTAAACGCTTTCCCCAAGTACAAGTGTCGTTGGTCGCGTTATGCCGTTTGCGGTGTGGATGCCCTCAGACACTTCCTTTAGAAGATCTGCGCCAAAGACACTTGCATCTGCCGTCGAGAACTCTGTTGGATCAGCAACACCATTCAAACCAAGGTACTTTGACGCAATCCCAGCAAAGCCGACTTCGCTGCACTTGTCTTCATCCTTGCAACGGGCTTCAGCAATAGCAAATACATGACCCTGCAGATCAACGAGACCAGGAACGCGGAGCGAGGTGATTTTGCTTCCGTCCTCCTTAAACTCCTTCCAATTAGCAAATGATATCGGCGTCGTCCCTGTGAACGGATCAATGGCATTCCTTGTTTTACCCCCAGCGACCGCACCTCCACCAGTGGCGCAGCACAACACGAAGAGGAGGAGCAGCACCGTGGAAGCAAACACACGCCGGGACATGTTGGGCCTCTGCGGCTCACTCTCTCCTCCTTCCCTCCTCCTTCCGCTGGATCCGGCCACGCGGCGACGGTTGTGTGTGCGGGGTGCCATCACAGCAACACGTGAGAGCATGTAAGTAGGTGTGGGTGGGCGATGTGTATGTGTGCTGTTGGTCCTTTCAGTGCCTCACAATTTCACAGTAGTGTTTAGCGTTTATTTTCCTTATTGGAGGGAAGCAACAAACAACAGCGGAAGAAAGGCTGCAAAACAACAGCACACACCGTCACCCATCCACAGTGAGTGGCACCATCCCCGCAGCCATTACTCCCCAGTACCCTCAACAACATAAATAAATGTAAAGTGTTTAAAAAGCGAGCAGCCTCCCAATGGGGGCCGCGGGCCATGGCCCTGCAAATAAGCCAAGCGACAGGGAGCCACGTGTGCAGTGAGGGACACGAGAGTTGCACTGCAACGGCACGACGGTGTGATGCCCTGTGGGGAGCATCAATGCAGAACAGCACATCGCCTGCAGGAAGAGTTGCTCCTCCCGCCGAGCAGAGAGGAAAAACAGCCCAATGATGAGAGGTCGTCTGCACCTCCTCGCGGACCTACACCCTCTGCAGACAAAAAGATGCAGATGACGCTCTTCTGCACGCATGAAGACCATTGCATTCTTCACAATGGCAATCGCACCCTGTGGCACCACACGCCGCAGTGGATGTGCACAGCATCCGTCTCCCTCCCTCCTTTCCCTCTCCCTGAGAACTTATCGGTGGCCGTGGCACACTCACAGACGCGTCAGAAATCACTTGTTTTTCTTCTTCCCTCAAACTTCGCACAGCAGCACCGCCAAACGAAGGTCACTCCTTCGTTCGCAGACTTTCCTCAGACACGCCTTCCGCCACGTTCATCAGCTCACAGCCACGCAGTCCGTAAACGTCACGCAGCCGTCCCGCACGATGCTGCCGCGCACACTAACACGGCACAACGCCACTCGGCGCAAGGAGTGTCTGGACACACAAAACAGGTCGCCCCAGCCAACGACAGCCCCCTCCAAGCAGTGAGGCAGGAGTCGTCGCTAACAATCAAACAACCAGCCCCTAGTCTCCTCCTTCCGCCATGCACGAGGTTCCGCCTGCCACATGCATCATCCGTGACGCCCGGACCCTCAATCAGCAGACAAAACGCTATGGTCCCCTCGACTCAACAAGAAGCTTATTGACAATTCTCAGCCAGTCGTCTCCACGGGCCATGCATGAGGAGCACCACGGCAAAAATGCATAGAAGATTGCATGCAAAACGCCAACTCATTCCACGTCAATAAATAATGTGGCATCATACATGGGCCTCACAAGCATGTCGACTTGCTCTTCCCCGAGAGGCCTCCCATACACATCGCACGTGGTCACAGTAAAGAAAAAGCAACGCCTTCGATCTGACCGTCATCCCGCGGCAGAGATCAAAGCACAATCCAACAAAATGCCGCAAATCGTCACATATTTCACACAGACCATCGACAGCTTACGCGGCAAATGCAAAGCACGGAAGAAGAGTCATGCTCACAAACACGCAACGCACAGACACAGGCAGGGTTGGGAAAAGCAGCACCCAATGCCATTCTTTGCGGATGCAAATGATAACAGCACCAAACAAAGTGAAGCACCAGTCGGGCACCAAATGTGGGCCACAGACACCACCACCCACCCATTCACTCTTCCTCCTCCCAATGGCGCGGCCCTCCCTCACCTCCGCAAACACGTTTGCTGCTCAGTCATGCGAGCCTCAGACGCAAGCACTCAAGGTGCGTTTCGGTAATCCAAAATTCAACACCTCAGAAAAACAGAGGACATGCTCGCAGAGGCCACACGGCTCCTCAACGCAGCCTCAAGCCCTCCTCACAACTCTTCAATGAGACGGAGAGGAATACAGGCGGCTCTCGTGTCACAGAAGACGGCCAATGGGAGCGCTGTCCACATGCAGAAAATACCGAGGTTTGAAACAGAAGAGGCGGTGGGAGGGCCCGCAGGAGACGTCACCTGCCACGCCTGACGTGCTTCGTGTTATTCGTGCGATGGAGAAGTAATGATACTGTTGCCGCGGTGCCTGTCCGTGAGTGCACCTCACTCTCGCACCAATGAACGCCTCAATGAACATCCTGTCAAGGGCAAGCAGCTGGCCGTGCAAACAATCCCGAGCCTCGTCAACGTTCCAGCAGCCGCTCCTTTGGCGAGGCGTCGCTCTCTTTCTTCATTGACTCCCGTGCGCCATCCTCGTATGAAATGAAAATGCCTTCCACGTCTGGTGTCATCAAGCACCTCCAAGTAAATTAGAAGGGATTCCCGGCCTCGAGAAAAAGCACCCAAATTGGCAGTCAACGTGAACTCAGCAACGCATGTCATCTTCTGCAGCCGCGTGTATTGCAACTCCCCTCAGCCACCCACTGTTTCTTCCCTGTGGACCCAAACCGCATAGTACACTTTGATTTGCTTGGGTCCTCCACAGGCTCGCGTAACCGTTTCCACCACACCCGTGCAGCTCGTGATTGCATCACTTCCCCGTCCACTTCTGCGCCACCGAATAGCGTGAAATAGGGATCCAAAACACCACATCCGCAAGGCAAACACACATGCATCGCTCCAACGAGTGCCACCGAGAGAAATCACACGACAGCACACTATCTCTCGCTCTCCCATCAGCGATTTGCCGTCAACAACAACAACGGCATTAAGAAGCAATGCTCGGGGCAATCCCTGAGAGCCGTCCCCACCTCGGCGAGCGACCCACTCTGGGAACCCTGCACTCCAGTGCCGTTCCGGGAGGGACTCCTGCCACCGCCAACCGTGTTTCCCTGTCGCGTTGACACACGGAGCCCGTTTCAGAGAAACAACAACACTCTCCATTCAAAACGTGGCTATGAGTGCGCAGGCAACAGGCGCAGGGCGCACCCTCTCAATTCCCAGTGCCGACAAATTAAAAGAGCATCAGTGCCAACTTGCTGTAGCACGCACAGATTTGCTTCTATTGTTTCCCGCGTGTTTTCCCAAACAAATCGTAATGCCCGCACTGCGGTAGCACTTGCCCTCAGACCTCGTGGTGTTTAAAATGTGCCCCAGCACAAGGCAGCTGGTCCGGACGCTGGTCGATGCCGTCAGCATCGCGCCAACAAAAACAACAACCCAGTGAGGGAAACATTGCTGGCTCCTAAATTCTCCCGACAATACGGAGCAATTGGCCCTGGCGCCGCGGTGAGGCAGTCAAGCATGAAATCGCAAGGGGAAGCAACGATGACGCGGGCAAAAGGAAGCCATTCCACCCTCAATTGAATACGGTGCCCCACTCCAAGCAGTCACACGGAGTGCACTGTTTCCACAAAAGAACTTGGTCGTCGTCCATCCCTTAAAGATGCTTCGTTTAATGATGGGCCTTAGAATAAAAAAATAAGAGGAAATGAACAACGTAGTCATACTTCATCACCGCTGGCCATAATCATTCTCTCATAACAGAGCAATTTCCCTACTATGCCTCGTATACACACACAGAAATCCACATGTATGAAACAACCCGCAATGGTTTTCTACCAGAACTCAAACTACCCCGTTCCCTCCATAATTTCTTCTTCGTTCACTGTTACGATCGCTCGCGTTGGACATTTTCCGCATCCGTGTGTGATGCTGCCGCCTGATGCTGGTGCATCTGCACTGTATGCACGCACAGGCATCCAACCATATGAAAAAAGCCCCAATATTTGTTACCAGAACTCAAACTACCCCCGCAATTCACCAATTTGTTTTCCTATTTATTCCTTTAATTACTCCTCAATTCTAAAACCTTCTTGGGGCGTCTCTGGATGATATTGACACTTGCTACTGGCGTACCTTTTCGTTCCAAAACACCGCAGTTTCATTTTTGTCCGCGCCGCTCACATTATTGGAGTCGACGACATCACATCCCTGCCAGCCATTCATCGGCGTGCTGTCTGCGTGCTGCACGTAAATAATCTCCCACGACAGTTGTCGGGATAACTCCTCCCAACCATTAAAATATGCCGCCAGGCACTCAGTGAACTGCCTCACAGTGCTGGCGGTGGTGTGATGCCCGCCCGCCGTGGCTATCCGCAGCCCAACCAGCGTCATTGGTTTTGACTTCACAAAGAAAAAGCCGTCCACCAGCGGAAAGTTTTCCACCTCCGTTACGTACAGCACCCCGCACTCCACATCAATCCTCTCGGAAAAGTGTTCCAGTGGCGGTAAGACATGGTGCCTGGTGGAGCGCTCCTGTGAGTACACCGCCAGCGCACAGCGGTGGGACCGACGTTGTGGTGATGGCCTCAGCTCCCTCAGTCCGCGTTCTATTGCACGCACAAAAGATTCATTCAAAAATGCAAACACGGTGCACCTTCCAAAATTTTCTGATATGAGATAATCCTTCAGCCCCGATATGAGTAAATTAAAATCAAGCTGCTGCATTAACTTCGCCGACTTGAATAATGTTTTATTTCCGAGGTGAGCAGACACCGGTACATTGGAAAAAAATTCATAACCAAACTCTTCACCTCGTATTCGGACAACCCTCGCAAGCCAGTAGAGCACCTTCATACGATCCCAGGATCCACCAAGTCCCAAACCACTGTATTGCAAGATTGCAGAAGAGGTCGCCTCATCGACGGTCTTGTGACACCGTTGAACCCAATTATCATACATTCGCTCGTCAAAGATATAACGTGGAATAGGTCCCACTTCATCCATTTGGCTCTTCACCACCTTCCAGTACTCCGCTTGCTCCCGCACGGGCTGATGGCGCCTCATCCAAACGCACATCGCCTTCACATCGCTTTCACCAGGGCAATCCATAACTATTGTTCTGGCACTGCTCCGCTTCATCCATTCTTTGTAGTTCCTCTCGAATGGGGGTGACAACAAAACCATGCCCCATCCCCTGGGAGGCAAATCATCAGACGGTTCATCGTCCGGCTCTGCCAAATCGTGGATAATATTACCCCTTCATCCCACGGTCAGACATAATCCACGCAACAGACGCATTACTGAAGTCGCTCATGTATCTCGTCACCGTCTGGATGGTCTTGTCAAACAGAAATGTTCGATCCGCAATAAAGTAAACAACCATTTGGAGTTTCTTCACGTCGTATTGCAGCAGCTGGTAGAGGAAGTACAAACCGGCAGCCATCGACTTCCCGATCTCGGGCGTCCCAACCAACACACGCCTCTTGGGCGTAAAGTCGGCCGTACCGTGAGTGCTGAGCCATTCGGTTAGGTCGCCCTTGACGATCCGCCACGCTCGCTCCACCTCACAGTTCACATAGCAGTCACGAGTGGATTCAGTCCCCGCCCACGAGTACGGCCCTTCCCTTGTCCGAGGCGAGCACCATCAGCCTGAGTCGTGCAGCACCGTATTGCTCCGCACCGTCATCCCTTTCGAGACAGTAGCCGACTTTCTTGTAAGTCCATTGCTGTGGTGGTCTTCCCTTCTTCACTTCCATTCCCGTCCCCTCGCCGCCAGGAACTTCTACGACATGATGCCACCTCGCATTGTACACAGACTCGTACAATCCCTCCATTTTTATCGGTGCAATCGTCGTCGTTGGTTTCCTCGCCTCCTCAAGGGCTGCATCCAAAAAACTTTTGGTGATGTCACGAACACTTGCTCTTATCTCCGCAGAAGCCACTGACCACCCAAATAGATTGCTGACACCATTTTTGTAAAGCTTCCTTAAATCTTTTTCCATATCCATTTCATCCCGTACAGCCCTCTCGGCCATCAAATAAGCATCTGATGCCTGTATTTCGTTCAATACTCCCGCATCGTGGATATACCTCGTGGGGTCCTTGAAAAACTCCTTCAACAAGACATTCCGATTGGCGCGCAAAATGCCTCTGCCTTCCATTTCCATCGTAATAAAATCATTCAGCTTCATGTCCTTGACGCGAACTCTTCCTCTAAACAGTACATCTTCGATCGTAGTAGTTAGGGTAAGTTCTACTTGTTTTTCCCGCACCGCCCTTTCCTCCGCCCAACGCCTTTCTTCTCTCAGTACATGAGTGAGAACTCCGTTTATTTTTCCCCTTGCAAGAGGAGTGACCGTATCCTTTCCTTCATATCCCCTCCATTGCTCGAGAGAAAACACATCCTCGTCATGAAGTTTATTAATGGCCTCCAATAGAATTTTCATCTCATCCAACTCCCTTTCCAGCTCTTGGTATGACGGCGATGCCGTTATTATGCGTAATAACCTTTCGTTTTGGATAAACGTCTCGGGATCCTGAACAAACATCTCCATAGCGACTTTCTCATTGGTGTCCACAACGCCCCTGCCGCCCAATTTGCTACGAAGGAAATCGTTCAGCTTCATGTCGGTACTGCAAGTGCTTCCCTCCAGCAGGATGTCCTTTACGCTGCTGCTCATGCTCCACTGTGGTCGCCGCGCTTCCTCCACTCTTCCGCGAGTCGCGGAGGTGTGATCTGTGTCACCCTCAAATTCCGACCTCGCTCTCCTCCGATCTCCATTCGGGACAGTAGGCGCTTGAATTTCCTCATTATTGTTTCTCCTTGATTTCTTGGTTGGATTGAGTTAAAGCTGAACACTAACCACCCAAAGAAAGGAATGAGAGGGTTAAAAAAATGCACATACATGACAGAGAGCCACAACAATTCAGTCTCCCACACAGGGTAGAGTAAATATTGAGCTCGAATAATCTTCTTGACCGCTGGCTGGATCCTCAAGTTATGTAAAGAAACCAGACAACATAGGAAAAGGGGCAACACATAGGAAGTTAATTTACTACATGTCTTCTCCTGATACTATATATATATGTATATATTCTTTTGGCCGCTCACGCAGCCTTTTGCAGTCAGATAGGATCTAATATATTTACTGACGAAATGGCAGACTTTGTAGTCCCCCAACCACAAGAACCCGCCGCATGGTGGGAATCAAAAGTGGGTGGGTAAGATGGTAAAAATAAAAAGCATCTAGCCCCTATCGGTTCCCTGCTGTCCCCCTAAAGTCGTGTAATTCCCAATATATTCATACGGTAAAAAGTATCATAAAGAGTGCCTTCAATTATCAGGATGTAAATAAATTAATTAAGTTGGCCAGCTCTCCCGCGATCATTCTTTTCACAAGCACTTAAAAAAAAAAAAAAAAAGCAACAAATCAATCACCCAATCAATCTATGAATAATGAAAAAAAAAGAAAAGGTACCTGCCAGATGCATCCACGTTATGCCGCATCTGCGAAGGGTTTTTTGTCGTCTCGCCGCGTACGGATACTGTTGGGGGGGGGGGCGGAGCCTTTCCACCTCAAAAAAGCAAAACTGCGTTAAATTTTTCAAGCAAAACATCATCACCTATCCAGAAGAGCATAATTAATGCTGCAGCTCGCACTCGATGCACAGTCGAAAAGGCTCAGGGCGTCTGAGCAGGTTTCACCGGCCATGGGCTGCAGCGGTGCGGGTGGTCGGTACGACGACACAACGGTGGTGCCTGAGGCGTACGACAATAACGTTATGTCGTGGAGCTTCTGCAGGTTCTCGTCGCCGCTCCCCTCGCGCAGCAGCGCCTCCAGTCCGCCACGCCGCGGCTCGCGCAGCTCCTGCCAGTGGCGGTCCTCTGCGTACCACACAACGACGCCGTACACTGTGACCGCAAGCACCACAGTCGTCAGCAGCAGCACGATAGCCACGTACGCCCTCGCACCGCCGTCGCTCGGCGCAAGGTGGTTGGCCGCGCTGATCACGCACAGCGTCGCAAGGAGCAGAAAGCCCGCAGTGTGCATCACCGTCAGGAAGGACGAGCGCATCATGTTCGTGAAGACAACCACGCCCGAACCCGCAAGCAGCACAGCCGCCATGCAGAAGTACTGGACGTGGCAGCCTCCCACGGGCGGGTGCACAGCCGCAATCAGGCCCACCACACACAGCACCGACAGCTGGAACACGCACCAGTACACGTGGTTGCCCCTCATGTTCGTCAGCATGCCGCCGTACATCCGCTGCTGCGCCGCGGGGTGCCAATACCCGACAGGGTACAGCAGGCGCTCGGGCAGCGGCTTCCTCAAAAACTGCCAGTACCTCGTGAAGCTCGCGCCCACGTCGCGAGCAATCAAGTAGCACACGCCAGCGGGGAAGGCCACACCGTACAGCACGCCAACGACACCAATCACGCGGTGCTGCACGCGGGCGTCGGACATCGCCAGTGCGAACACGGAGCCGAAGAAAATGCCTAGATGCATCGCGTGCGCCACGACGTACGTCAGGCTCGGGAAGCGCATCGCAGCCCACGCACTCGCAGCGTCCACGCCGCGCCACCGCTGGAAGGCCGCCGTCACACCGCAGTGCACGCACCCGAACACAGCGGCAAGCAGCGCGTTGCCCACCACCATCCACACTGGGTCAAGGGCAGCGAACACCGACAGAAAGTACGGCAGCGCAACGGTGCTCGCACGCTCCTGCGCCGAGGCGCATGACATCCTCGCAAACACGCCGAGCGCCTGCATCTCAAGGATGGAGCCCAGTCCGCCGGTCACCACCGCGGCAACAGCCGCCGCACCCGCAACAACGCCGGTGATCGCCGAGAGGGCGCTGGCAGCGGCGGGCAGCGTGTTCGACCTGATTGTGAAGGAACCAAGCAGCACACCCTTGCAGCCGCCGGACACTGCCGCAGCGTCGCAGCGAATGACTAGCGTCTCGTCGGCAGCAACAAAGTAACCGCGGTGCACGGGCAAAGCCAGCTCCAGGACGGTGGACGGATTCGTCGCATTGCGCACCCACGTCGCGTTGCTCAGCATCGCTCCCCACGGACCGCCAAACCCGCGCGGCTGCGCCGTCGAGACAGGCACGAAGCTCAGGTGCGTGCCAAGCTGCGGGTCGCGTGCCCACCGAAACGGCGGCGGCAGCGCCACCATCAGCAGCGTCGGGACAACGCTCCCACCGCCACGGATGTCGTTCTGCGTCAGGCCTCCTCCAGCCGCCGTCGTCGTCACGGTGAGTGTCGGGCACGCCACGTCGCTCCACCACAGCGTGCTGCTCACCGACGCCGTCGGACTCCGCGTGGGCGGCAGCGCCACCGTCTCCGTCACCCGCAGGGTCTCCGTCGGCCCGTACTGCGTCGGACTGTAGTGCGTCGTGCTCACGCTCGGCGTCCACGTTGGTGTCGCCGTCCACGTTGAATTCAGGCTGCGCGTCTCCGTCAGCGTCGCCGTGTGGCTCAGCGGCGGCCTAAAGAGCGTGCGGTTGCACCCGTCCACGTGCGGCAGGTACACCGGCAGGCAGTCGCGCCCGTACCCGCCGTCAGCACAGCGGCAGCCGCACGATCCCGACATCGCCCTCGTCGCAGCTGCAAAGCAGTGCACGTCGGCGTCGCACACGCCACACGCCACAGAACGGAATTCCCCGATGATGCCGGCGGACCTGTAGTCCATCGGCCGCAGTGCCTGCCCGTTGAGCGTCAGGCACCCCACGACGAAATTTCGGCCGGCTCCCCCGAGCGCAACGGTGCCGTCCATCACGACGGGCCCGCTGCCGGCGTTCCCATGGAGCGTCAGAATGCTATGCACGAGGTCCGCACGGCGCGGGTACGACGGCACAGACAGAAGTCTGCCGCTGATGCTGTTGCCGCGCACCGACAGCCACGACCCGGACACAAACGACGCCGACCCCCGCAGCTCCAGCAGCGCGCCATCGGTCAGCACACCGGCGTTGTCGTTCACTACGACGGCGGACGCGTTAGCCTCCACCCCGCTGCCAAACACCAGCCCATGCGCGGCGTACACCTGGCTCCCCGAAACGCGCAGCACAGCGCCCCCAGACGCAACCACGCGCGCACTCGCGTACAACGCAACGTCGCCACCGAGCACAGCCGCGTCCAGCGCGACACCGCCACCGACAAGCTCCAGCACGGCGCCGTCCACCGCCACCGTCCGCCCACCAGTCACCACGGTCACGAGGGCAACGCCGGACACAACCAGCACGGACCGCACGAGCCGCAGGCCCGACAGCACCAGCACCGGTGCGTACGGCGAGGACTGCAAGCCGGGAAGATACACAAGCGGCGTCGGCCTCGCGGCAACCAGCAGAGAGTCCGTCACCGTCAGCACGGACCCCGCGGGAAACGTGCCGGTCAGCACAAGCGCACCGTTCAGCGCCTCCACATCGCACACCGACAGTTCCACCGGCCCGCTCTCGTCGCTCCCCGCCGCCACCGCACCGCGCAACGCTCCACCGCCCATCACGTACAGCACGGCACCGTTCAGCAGCGACACGTTCTGCACAACGATCCGCACGCCGCCTCGCGCCATCCACGGCACGTAGAGCACAGGACTCACGCCGTCCAGCACAAAGTGGCGCAGCGTCACCTCGCTCGCGCCGGCAGGCACAACGAACACTGACCGCACCGTCACGCCCTCGCGGATGAACACACTCGACGCAGTGCCCACAGCGGGCGGCAGTGCGGGAGCTCCCACAGGCACGCACGCCTCGCCGTACCCGTTGCTGCCGCACTCGCACACGCACACACCATTCCTCATGCTCGCCGACGCCGTCCCGGGCGCGTAGCAGTGCGTGTCCCTGTCGCAGGCGTCGCACCCAGCAACGTCGATGCGCCCAGCGTCGCCAAAACCAGCCGCCGCGTACTCCTCCGCCGTCGACAGGACACGCCCACCAGCGTAGTTGCACGCCACCCTCACATGCGCCCCAGCCGCAAGCGACAGGCTCAGCGACAGCATCCGTGGCAGCAGCGCTCGGTTGCGCACAAAGCTCAGCGTGCCTCCAGCAGCGGTCACGGTGCCAGCAGCGTAGAGCATCTCCCTCGAGACGCCGTCGTGCACGTTGCCCTTCGCCAGCAGCATCGACCCGCCAGCCAGGCTCACAGTCGAATAAAACGCCACCGCGTAGTCCTCCGTCGACGAAAAGTCGCTCCGCACAAGCGCCACAGCGGAGCCCGACACGCTCACAGCCCCACGCACAGACACCGCGTGCTTGCACAGCAGGAAGTCGCTGTCAACAAACGCCACCACGGAGCCGTCGCTGGCCGCAACACCGCCCTCCACCGACACGCACAGCCCCAGCGCCGTCTGCACCGACAGCCCGTCCACGTACAGCGCACCGCGCGACGACAGCGCCACGCCGCCAACCACCAACACGCCAACAGCGTCGCGGAACACCGCCGCCACATGCGTGCGCGCGATGGTCAGCACGCTCCCCGTCAGATTCACGTTGTGCAACACGAGGCACGCAGAGACGTCGCCAAGGCCGTAGTCGCCGCGGTACGCAACACGCGCCTCTGCGATCAGCACCGAGTCCACCACAGTGACGCGCGAGCCCGGCGGAAATCGGTTCGCCACCACCACGCCGCCGCCGGAGCGCGACTCAAGCCCGCTGATCAACACATCGGCGCGCTCGCCAGCAGGCGGGTCGGACCGCCACCCAACAACGTACAGGCTCGCTCCGCCCACAAACGTGCAGTCCGCCAGCGTCACGTTGCGCACGCTCCCTGACATCGACTCCACGTCCACCACGACGTCCGCCGCAAAAGTCACACCAACGTAGCACACCACCGACGTCCCGAAACTGACGTTCACCTCCACACCCACACGCACGTCCCGCACGCACAAGTCGGCGCCGTCGGTGCTCGGTGGCTCGGGAACAGCGACGGGCAGGCACGCATCGCCGTGGCCGCCCTCAGCGCACGTGCAGGTGCAGCCATCACTCGAGGCCGTCGTCGTGTACGCGGGAAAGCACGACGTCGCGAGGGTGCATGGATCGCTGCAGGTCAAAATGGTGATATTGTACACGGACGGAATAATGTATCTCACCCGCTCCTCGCCGTTCATGGTGTTGCACGCAAACAAAATCGCTCCGTTTGTGAGATCGCTCGACCCCGTGAATATCCGCAGCGCTGTCGGCGTGCCTGTGCTGGACATGAATCGATTGCCGGACACAGACACCGTGGAGTCGCGGAGATTCACCGTGGGGTTCAGGAGTGCAAACGCATGCAATGGGGACACACGGCACAGGTTGCCGCTCAACTGCAGCCAGGAGTTGTAGTAAATGTAGGAAGCAAAATCTGAATAAAACACAACCGAGCTTCCCTGCATGTCGTTGTCCTGAAACACGACCGATGATTGAGACTCCACACCTAAGGCCCAGAAAGAAAAAATGAAATGGCGCACCGGCCTCGACACAAAGTTACCTCGAATCGCCACGGCAGAGTTGTTCAGTACACTCAGCGACAACGACTGACCAGATCCCTCAAGATGTATCAGCGTACCGTCACCGCCTTCCATATGAAACGTGTTGCCCACCACCGCAAACACGGAGTGCCACGACACCCTCAGCGCAGATTCAACAACGTGAATGGCGCTTGACGATGCCGTCACGCTATGAAACACATTGCCACTGAGCACCACCGCGGAGTCATTGCTGATCCACAGCCTATTCATCGCAACACACGACGGGCTGTCAAGGTCCAAACCCGGCCGAGGGATCAGCCTCGTGACCGTGAAGCGGTTCCCGCTGATCGTGATGTTCGTGTGCGGTGGAAAATCACCCTCCGGGCTAAGCAGCGCGCCACGGAACGTGTTACCGGTGACGACGATGTTCAGCGACCCCACAGCGGCGTACGCATTGCCCAACAGCAACAGCACGGCGCCGTCCCTCCACGTGCATCCATCGAACGTGACGTTCGCCACTTCGCCCGTCATCGCACCAATCAGCACCGTCAGGCTCATGCCGCCCCCGCTGAACGTCACGTTGCGGTAGCACAGCCACGACAGCCCGCCGCCCACAGCCTGCGCAACCTCGGGGTACACCATGTCGCTGATGCACTCACCAACCGGCGGCGGTGGTGTGGGCGGCGGTGGCGGTGGCGGTGGCGGCGTGGGCAGTGGCGGCGGGCCAGCAGGCACAGGCGCCGGGACGCACGCATCGCCGTGCCCTCCAGCAGCGCACTGGCACTTGCAGCCAATGACCGCCGTCGTCAGCGGTGCAAAGCAGTCGCCCTCCTTCGTGCACTCCCCGCACGCGGCAACCGTCGTCACGTTGGTGATGCCGTGGAGCTCCAGCTCTGCCGCCGTCGTCAGCAAACGTCCCGCGACCGTCAGGCACCCAGCAACGAACCGGTAGCCGGCGTCAACCCGAGATAGCAGGGGTCCCGACAGCCCCGTCGAGCCCATCTTGCAGCCCGTCAGCGTCACCACACTGCTGTCGTCAATGCTCACAAAAGTGGATTCGGATTCGTGGAACATCGCACCCACTCCCACGTCGTTGTCGCGCCAATCCAGCCAGCTTGACTGCTGAACGGTCCATAAGTCGTCTGCAAAGATGGCGTATGACACGGAGCCGCTGTTCCTTACCACACGCAGTACGCTGTAATCCGACACGCTAAAGCCAAGATACTGAAACAGAAGGCTTTTCCCGGAGGACATTGTATTGTTGAGCAGCGCAAAAACGGAGTGTTCGCGGACACTGAGGATATTTACGTGGAAAAGGTGTGTGTACCCATCAAAGCTGCAGTACCGCGTGTACAGCGAGCTGCCACCCACCAGCTTCAGCGTCCCAGTCGAGTACAAACCAAACGCATCACGCTTCGTTGCATGCGCCCTGACGTTGCTGACCAAAAGCGAAGACGCACTCAACACGACTTCCCGCAGCATCACAACACTCAGCTTGTTGTTCACTGTGTCCGGCGAATGGACTGCGGAGGACTGCGCCGCGTCAACCTCCGTGACGGCGATGTCGCAGTGCTGCGGAAGGGCGAGTGCAAAAATAACGACGGAGGGCCGCATCACCGTCTGGCTCACGCGGATCAGGACGCCGGATGACTCGGCCGCCTCAGCACCCCCAACAAACTCCAGCGCGGCACCCTCACGGAATGTGCACCCAGTGAGCGTGATGTTGATAGGGAGATGCAGCGGCATACTGTTAAAGAAGAACGTCAGCGCAGCATCCACGCCGCTGAATGTCACACCCAAGAAGCAGTGGTGCGTCTTCCACATGTTCAGCGCGAGGCTCGTCAGCGTCTGGTTCACCACGCAGCTCGTGTCGCCGTCGACGGCTCTCTCCGCCACGGGCGGCACAACCGCGTCGGGCACCTCGAAGGGAAGACACGACGCGCCATGCCATCCGTCCCTGCAGCTGCACGAGCACGAGCTGCGGTCCACCGACTCCGTCCCGGGCATGTAGCACGCCGCGTCGTCGTTGCACGTGCCACACCCAAACAGCTCCACGCCCTCCGAAAACACGTCGTCGTACAACGCCTCCTCACCGCCCTGCAGGTTGCACCCAACCACAAACCGCGCGGGTAACGTCGCGACAATGCTCGATGGGAAAATATTGAAAAAGGAAGCCCTCGAGTTCACCTGACGGTTGTGTGCAAGCACCACAGTGGTGCCGCTGTCTGATAGCTGAATTTTGTGCTTGGAATACGGAATAGTTAATACTGAGGCTGCACCCACGCTGTTTCCCTCCACACGCCACTGCGCACCACCCTGAAGAGTCACAGAGCCGTCAAGATACACCAGCGCGGAAACAAAACCCCCCGCGCTGCCAGCAAAGGTGCAGTCCGCCACTCGCAGCAGCCCCGCGGAGCTCACAGTGGTAAACCCAAAAAAATAAACTCCGCTAATGGCTCTCATCGTATTGTTATCCACGCCAAAATAGCCGTCGTTCTTCACATCAACAGCGTAAAAATAAAGAGATGATTCCATACCTTTAATCTCCATAGTACCCAGCGTGTTTCCCTTCACAATGATCCCGCCACCATCAACAACAGCAGCATTGGGAAAATAGAGTGCGTACATATTCCCTGCGATGCGGTTGTCGAGTAGCCACAGAGTTGAGTTCGCACCAACAGTAAAATCCAAAAAAGCAATGGCGTAGCTCGACGTCGCCACAAGCGCACAGCCCGCCACCAGTATCTGGGATCCAGTGCCAAAATCACCCTTAAACTCCAATGCACCAAAATCCAAAACCGAGGATGTCACGTTCACGTGCACATGCGCACCACTCCCCTTGATCAACACGCCCACGAGAACGCACTGCAGCAGCGTGACGTTGAGTGTCTGTTCCGGTGCGTCAAAATACGACAGGTCCAGCACGATCGCGGCGGTGAAGGTCACGTTGACGAAGCACAGACCACGCACACCGGGATCAGGGACGTCCAAAGAGCTGATGCTGCCACCGTGCACGCAGCGGACCTCCGTGTCCTTCGCGTCGGTGAGCGGAAGCGGCCAAAGGCCGTCCGGAATCGCAGCTGGTAGACACGTGTCACCGTAGCCGCCAGCAGCGCACACACACTCACAGCCGCTGATGCTGCTCGTCCTCGCAGCAAAGCACACGGCGTCCACGGTGCACGCACCACAGGCCAACACCCTCACGGGCGTCCAAATATTGAGGTCGTCTCGGTAATTCGTCACAGGTGAGCCCCGTGCCTCGTTGCACACACCGTAGATGATCGGGCGCGAGTCGGACGGTGGTGACCACTTGCTTGTCATGCGTGGAATGGTTGACGAGTACGAGCGGTACGTGAGTTTGTTGTAAAGTATCGACCACACACTCCGATCGCAAAACGCCACGCCGTTCTCCTCGACCACGTACACGACGTAGGCGGTGCGGAACTCGTTGTTGCGGTGCACCAGCCAGCTGCCATCAGTCACATTCAGCGTGTTTGCAATGAGCATGGCAAAACCGAGACGGAAAGTGCTAGACACAATCTGCAGCACGCTACCGCCATCCACCGCGACATCCCTGAACACACACGCGCCGTTGTAGTATTCGGTGCTCGGAGCACTCCACGAGCTGTTCTGTATGGAGAACACGGAGCCACCGCTGACACGCAGGTCCGACGCAAGAGCGTACATCACGTGCGTCTGCGAACTCACTGCGCAATTGTCCATGTAGAAGACGCTGGACAGGTTCACGACAAAGCCGCGCCCCACGAGGATCGCAGCGCACGAGCCCCCGCCACACACCAGTGACGACCGCGTCATGACAAACCGCGTCGACAGAAGCCGGACGCCGTCCAGGACAAGCGCGGGGCCGTACCGGAATCTCTCGTGTTCACGGGTCGTCGGCACGTACTGCGACCCGCCAACCGTCGCGCGCAGCGTTGAGTTCGCCAGCACCACACTCGAGTTCGACGGCATCGCGCCATGCAGCATAATCGTGCCCTCCACCGACGTCACATTCGTCATGTTGACGAGGGCGTGGGGCATCAGGCGCGCCGTGCTCTCGCTGAGACCGCCAATCCGCAGCTGTGCGCCGCCCGCAAGCACGCAGTGGCACAGCGTCACGTTCAGCGCGTCAGCAAACGCGTCCATCAAGCGCAGGTCCACCGTCACGGTGATCGGCCCGCTGAACACCACCGAGTCGAAGCACGCCGTCGCCCACCCGCCGCCAACCGTCACCGACTCCGTCAGCATCACGCCACCCACGCAGCCCTCCGCAGTATCGCCACCGCCGCCACCGGCCCTCGCAGCCGGCACGTCGAACGGCAGGCACGCCTTGCCCACACCGCCGGCACGGCAGCTGCACACGCAGTCAGAGAACGACGCCGTCAGCGCAGCAAAGCACGCCAGCGCAGCCGCACAGCCGTCGCACGGCACCACGCTCACGGACGACAGGCCGGCCATGCGGTAGTCGTTGCTGCTCTGCAGCACCCGGCCGCCGGCACGGTTGCACTGCACCGACACGACGCCGCTCGTGATCGTCGGCCCGGAGACAAGCGTAGCGCCAGTGGCAGCGCAGCGCGCAATCGACACGGCGCCGCCGCTCAGCGTCACCCCCGACAGCGACGCCACAGACGACGCCTCGCCCACCGCCCACACGTCGTGCAGCTCCAGCCACCCGCCGACACCGATCGTCCCACCGTCGCAGCGCACCAGCGAGGACGCAGCAGACCCCTCGACGCCCACGAAGCGCAGCACCGAATCGACCACCGCGAGGCGCTCGCCAAGCACAAGGCCGCCGCCGCTGCTCACAACCGACACGTTCGTCACGGAGAACACCGAGTGGCTCCGCAGACTGAGATTCGACGAGGACGCCACATGCAACGCGGAAGCGGTCGGACCGCCCGACGCCTCCAGCAACACGCCGTCAAGCACCACCGCGCTCGACAGCAGGTCCACACCGCCGCCAACGTACACCGCCGACCCGCCCGCCTGCAACGACCTCAGCACAGTGTTGCTCACACGCAGCTGTGTCTGTAACAGCGACGTCGCGTGCAGCACAAGCGGCGCCGCCACCGCGTCCGTCAGCCCGCTCAGCTGCGAGTAGCGCATCGGCCCCGCCGTCACAACCGTCGAGTCACGGACCGTCACGTTCGTGTGTGCCGGCAGGTTGTGCACAAACACGAGCGAGCAGTAGCTCCCCGACAGCCCGCTCACGCTCACCTCCAGGCTCCGGTCACTCGCCGGCTCGCCGCTGTAGCCCCGCACGTAGATCTGCGCACCGCCGTCGCACACGCAGTTCCTCAATTCGATGCGCAGCGCGCCGGGAAGCATCGCCGCAACGTCAAACACAACAGCCACGCCGTTCGTGATGGACACGCCGTCCATCAGCACCGTGTCCACGGCGCGGCCAACCGTGATGGCTCTGTCCACCGTGCCGTCCCGCAGTCGCAGCACCACCGCATGCACCGCGGGCATCCACGCCGCCGCAGCAGCCAGCACCAACGCCACAAGCAGCGCCAAAAGCGCAGCCGCAATGGCCCTGCGCCGCACACGGTGCCGGCTGCGTGGACACCCACCCACCGCAGACCGCATCCACCGACCCAGACACGTATCAGCAGGGCTGTCGCGGTGCGTCGCACTCGCACCGTCGACCATAACTCCTGTCTATCAAATCCTTCCCTACAGATGGCGAATCCAGTGACACGATTCCGCCAGATCGATATCCCAGTACTGCTAAAAGTAATACTGCAAGTAATCCCTACCACCTTGAAA